GTCCATCATTTCCTCAGAGCGCTCGCCGGCATTGACGCTATCGGCTGACAGCCCCTCCTGTAGGGCAGCCCACGTTACCATTCAGCAAAGCCAGGGCCAAACAGTGAGTGCGCATAGAGAGTGCACTCGGCCAACTGGCATGCTGGCAGCGGTCATCCCTGTCAGCGTTAACCGGGCCCCTACTCGCAGCAACGAAACGATCTCACGCCGCGGACGGCGCGGCCGTTCCGAAGCGCCCGCCGACACGTACCAACGTCACACATCAAGCACAGTCAAAGTCCTGACACGTCCGCCCCCTGGCGCCGCCGCTGCCAGCCACTACGCCGGGTGCGACTGAAATAAACAGACGGGCGGCGACCGGTGAGTCCTCTCGCAGGGTCAGCGCATTCTGGGCAGGCCGCGTCGGGCACGGCGGGTCGGGCGACGGTGGCGCCGCTCGCGGTCAAAGTGCGCGGCGCGCCCGACGGCGGAGCCAGCAGCAGAGGGTTGTTTTGTACACCAGCTGCAGAGGGCTGAGCAGGGCGGGCGGTGCTGACACAAGTGGCAGGTGAGCGATTCTAGCGAACGCACTGCGGTAGACGGAGCTGTGAACTTTTAGGTGTTCAGGTGAAGAGCAAAGTAGCCTCCAGCGGATAATAACAGGGAAGGATGTTGCAGGCTCATTCGTTGCATGCAACGTGACGGAGTAGCGCAAAAGTTATTGATTCTGGATGACGTTTTATTACTTCCTTTATGCCCCCTCGCTGCCCCTAACGCGGGGATAACATCAGTGAATGCGGGTTCGGAGCCGACAGGTCTGAGGGTCTGATTTATTACCTGGAGCGCCGGATCCGGCACGGGCACAGGTTAGGTATTTACTTATGTAGTTAATAAGTTGTGCGGCTCGTCCGCAGTCATGCCATAAATAAGCACAAGTTACCCTGTCCTAACCAAACGCGCCAACAACTGGTGTCGGGTCTCAGGGGCAAGGCATCACAGATGAGCCCCCCCCCTCCCTCCCTCTCCGAGACACCTTTGTTCATCTTTCACCAGAGATGCCCCTGGCAGCAAATTAACACAACAGCGTAATGCATTCTCATTGAGTTCCCCCCCCCCCCCCCATCCTGTAGGAAATGTTTCATGCGCCCCTGTAAGGCAGACGCAAAACGACATAAATGTATTTTCATTGTTAAGGTCTGTTGCAGAATATACCAGATTATGTGTGTTGGGGAAAATTCCATTTGTAACTTAAGATCGCGACTAAATCCAAGTGCCCTCAAAGTTACATGAGAGAGAGGAGACATCACTGTTTTCACAGGTTCGTGGTCTGAAATAAGATTACGCAACAAGGTAAGTAGAGCTGGATTCCAGGACGCCGTTTACAGCAAGTTTGTTATGAAAGCACTTCCAGCGAGAGATATCATGATATGATTACACGAATTGCCGGGGCGCTGGTACAAAGCCCTAAGCCACCATTATATGCATCATTTCATTGTTGTCAATGCGCTTTGACACGCTCATGACGAAAGCACTACAGACTATTTTAAAACCGAACAATGTCCCGGCTGCACCGTTTAGGCTTACCTTGAACTTCTTAAGAACATTGACATCTTACGTAAGCCACATGTGAACACAATTTACAGTGGAGCAATGCGTCATAAATAAAGGTTTTTGGCGGAGTAGAGGCGCGTGGAAAAATTAACGGACAAGAGGGTCGTTTGGCAGCATGACAGACGAACTGGCTCCTGCATCTTAGACATGTCACAAAACACATCAGACAGAAGGAAGCCAAGGTACTTACATTCGTCCACATACGTCACAAACTACATGGGTTTAGTGGAGAAGCATTAACGTTCCAAAAGCTGAGTTGATTACTTGCATTATCCGTGTATGACTGATTTAGATTAAGTCCATCGTATTAGAAACGTTGAAATACTGCAATTATGGCTTCTGGTGTAGAAACGTCTCACAAGTTCTGTTTTGCTCCTGTTGGATGATTTGACGCATAGTTACAGCAGCAAACAAGTAGCAGTTAAACGATATCATGAGTGTGAGCGATCAATTTGACACCAACATCAACCATACATCGATATCGCGTGTAAATACACTGACCTGCAAGGCAGTACTCACATCTCGATGTGACGAAAGCAGTCTCCAGTAAGTGAGCAACTCGTATAGTCGTATTTGTCAAAGAAATCGTAATCTGGAGTACCAGCGCAGCCAAAAGACGCGTTACGTTCATAGTGGATTTATACTATGAGCATTTCAGGCTTATTACTTGATGGTAGAGGCAGGTTCACGGTTGTTGGTTGCTTTACCGCTGCGGGACGATCGTGCATCCGGCGCGTTTGGGTGGAGTATAATCTCTGTTATAACCAATACGGAGAGCGTGTGAAACACGTTAACATTTCATTGATGTTATCATTTCACCACGATAACATTTGCTGTGCTTTGTAATTCTGATCGCAACTAATTGCAACTTTAACTTTTTAGATAACGCCTTTGGATGTTTGTGTGATGTATATTCGCGCAAGCTTTGGTATGTGCCCTTTCACTGATGTCACAAACCCCTCGCTCATTTTGTGCATGTAAGCTCTATGGCACGTTTTTCAGTAGCACGTGCTGTACGACTGCGGCAGCAGGCTTCTTGTCACCGTCCGCCGCCTCTATTTTACACAGTAAGACGTTTTATGGGGTGCGGGGCAAACGAGGAGAGAACGCTCGTGAGAGTTCAAAATTTTTGTCATGCCCATGGTGTCAAGAATTGTGCAATTCGAGACTTTGGCAACCCATACCGACTGGTTTGGCAACGCGCTGGTCCTTTGCCTTTCGTGTGAGTTCAACGGGTGGAGGTCCCATGTGATTGCATTGGTACGCTCATTTACAAATAAGATTTGCGATATGATCAGTTGAGCTAAAATCGTAGTGGATTGGAAATATCTTTTGAAAATTAGGGGCCACCTGTCTGGACGGATTCGGCAATTTGCGTGGACGAAACTGACAGACTTGCAGTGGTTCACGGTTTTGGATCTATGGCTGGATTCTTCTGAAAATTGGGGCTCCATGTCTGGACAGGTTCGGCAATTTGCATGCACGAAATTGACAGATTTGCAGTAATTCACAGTTTAGGATTTATGACCGGATTCTTCGGAGGAAATACGTTACTTTAAAAGCAGGAAATCAAAATGAACAAGAAGACTTTCCTGTGAACCTGCGATGACGCAATCTCTGCTGGTTTAAGCCATGACGTGTTCTATTCTTGATCGTAGTCGGAAAAGATGGCGTTGGCCGTTTGCCGGTCAACTGTTCACGCGCTGATTGGTTGAACAGCTGTGTGTTGGCGAATCACAGCCGATACATTCACCTCCACCCTGTAGGTGGTGTCGCGCCTTCATCCGCTCTGACTGCTGAGACCATATGCTTCTAAAGACGCACAGAGCAAAACTAAGTAACTGAGTTAGCAAAAGCAAAATACCGTTAGAAATGTGGGCATAAGCTAATATTTTCTGTGCCAACTTCAATTACCCTATATTTCAACACGTGTTTTGCTCCAAAATTGTACGTTTCAGCCATTGCTGTAACTTAAATGACAAGATGATGTTAGGCACGCGGGTCTCATGTCATTAGAATCGTTAAGCCTTGCTCTTAGTCAGAGCCTTTAACGGATAAGTCCATAGAAGAATAAGAGCACTCGGTTTTCCAAACGAGTATGACTAGGTCCGAGGTCAGCCCTTCTGTAAATTAAATTGATACAAATTTGCCCGAGTGCGAAAAGGCAATAAGACTAGACGGTACATCAATATTGGGCGGACGCAAGCACATGCCTGATGTGCTGAAATATTTATTTTTGCTCTCCCCATGCCCCTGATCAGAACTAAGTCACGTCATGGGACGGGTTGGCCCCGGCTTAGTTCGCCTGTGCAGCATGCAAATAACGGTCATCTGTTCCATGACCCACAGATACACCAAATGTTGACAATTACATATTGTCTGATAGATTGGCTACTGGATTATGTGTACATTTTTGGGTGGGACTCATTTAAGTGGTCAAGTATCGTCTGGCTAGTGGTTACACTCACGTATCCCGGGGAACCAATAGCGTAGTGGGTAAGCTACGCGCGTGGGAAAACAGAGGTACAGGATGGGTCTCCGCGGTATCCGCCCTTCCCGCCAGGGTGAGAGACAAATGGCGCCGTATAGTTTCAGCAGCTGAGTGCGTCGTGAAGCCCCAATTACACTCACGTGTTCGCCTCGGTTTTATAAGCGTCATGTTCGTCTATCATTGCTCGTGATGTGTCAAACGAGGACCAGATGGTGTTAATCTGTGTAGTAGCCCTTTGAGCTCCACTTATCAGTTGCCGCGGTCAGGTGAGCCCACAGGCATGATGTAACATAGGCGGGCGCAGGAACTTTGGTGCGAAGTGGCATCGTGATTCTCGGTGCACCGAACGCCGGATTTCCACCACGCGACTCCGTCATATCGTATGCTTTAGTGCATTAACCATTTACTGCATGCCCCAAACGTACGCTGAATTGTGGTTAGCGTTAGATGATTGAAAATGCGGCCTTATAAATGGCAACTACCTTACAGTTACGGACGTCGTAACAATGGGACGCCAGAGAAGGTTTTGTTCCTTCGCTTCTTCCTGAAGGGGGAGTGAAGGGACTAAGAATAAATAGGGAACGGCAGGAGCGGTCTTAGTGTAACTTGTAACTTATAGTACCGCATAATTTATATTGCACACTTCCAAATTTGAGGTCGCAGTGGCGGGGGAAATAATAATGTATATGCTCTTCTGCCGTTAAGGTGAGGGTGGACCCATGGTGGCATCGCTGCAATGGTTTGAGCTTCAAAATTACGCTTTGGTTCCTCCATGTTACCCCTTTCTCTCTGTCCGCACCTCCAGCTGTTTCCAGTCAGCAATAATTCCTTCATGCGTAGAAAGACATGTGAGATATGGTAGCAAATACTGCAGCAGCATCCCGCACCAATCAGCTGTTTACGTTGAATGGTATTGTAGGGTTGGGAATGGCGATTGTTTGGTGAACTTTGTGGACCAGACGTCGTTTAGCTTTTGTTAGATGTGGACAAGTTAAGAATTTCTCGGACTGATTGTTCGCTGGTGCAATTCGTGTGTTGTGTGCACTTTGCGCACATTTTGTATTTCTCCACATCAAGGAACGTCTCCACTGCGCCACGCTCGGCCGTGCGGGTGTGTGCGCGCGCGAACGAGGTTTACCACTGACATCAGAAATTGCCGCGTGCATATGTGTATTTTTGGGTGGTCATCAGCACTCATTCATCACTTGTGTTCATTAAGGTGATGCATGGCTTCAAAACCTGGGTAAACATGTATTGAACCAATGAGCTTGGTGACTTTTTGAGTCAGTGGGGTCCAGACCCCAGTAACTTTTGGACTTACAATGATATTGTTGTGTTTTGAATATACAACACAAAACCAAAACAGACAAAAATTTGTGCAGCACCTTTTAGCATGTAGCTTCATCCATGGCTTAACTAATCAATAATGAATTTTGAATGGAAGCGGGCTGCAAGTAGTGCAAAATGTACTGCCACTTTTGCTTAACTAATCAACAATGAATTTTGAATGGAAGTGGGCTGCAGGTAGTGCAAAATGTACTGCCACTTTTTCGAGTGCATGGTATTTCAGGCATTAGACAAATGCCTCATCTGTACTCTCAATGTGCTTGTATTCCAGGTTTCCATAAATCTTCATGATGACATCACCAGGGTTGATAGCAGTTCTAGCTGGCTACATTGGGGCCACGGAACCTGCTCTCCGTCTTCTTCTTTCTCTCCTGTTTGGTAAGTTATGATTGGAGGGATTTGTCTGAGAATAGTTTATAGACATGCATAAATGGTTATTTTAATTACAAACACTGGTCCTCATCATATGTGATTGATGTTCATTGCAGCCTCATATGAGGTTTATCCACTCTTATGTTAATGCTACTTTCCCCCTTGCTTAGCATCCTTCTGTTTGGTTAAATGAGATGGAAGTTTCTTGTGCATCCTTAGATATCTTGGGTAGATAGGTTTTCATTTTGATGATCCATGCTAACTTGTTTGATTGCATTTGTCCAGGGATCTGTATGTTAATAGCATTGTGCTGGACATCATGCAATCACTTTCTGATGGTGAGGTTGTTTCATATGTATTTCATGATATGTTTATATCCTGATGTGTATTGAAGTGCTTTCCTACTTTTGTTCCCTAACTTTATGCTAGAATGAATGTCAGGGTAGAATGTATTATTTTGCAGACTGCAGTGTATGAGACTGAGTACACCCAAAGTGCAGCCTGTTCACTCTGAACTGTGTCCACAGTCTGCATAGATTCACTGACATGTCCACTGGCCATGACCCCACCTCCAAAACATTGTAGTGCTAGTTCACTGTATTAGGCACATGTGTAGGTATGTGCTGCTACCTACCAAGCAATTGCCCAAACATCCAAAGGGCCCCTTTTGACCATACAATGATGTGGGCAGCTGTCAGATGTTCAGTGAGCCTTTCCACACTGTCCTCACCTGGTCCAACCATCGGATTAGCCAAGTGTGTGGGAAGCTTAAATGGATGAACCTCTGTCAGATGCTTGGTAAGTGTCTGCTTGGAAATCTAGCTTTATGCCAATTGATCAAAATGTATAACTCTTTCCACTCCTGTCTTGATGTGCAAGCATGCAAGATGTCTACTGGCACACCATCTATTGCTAGCATATATCTGCCCCACAGGCTATCCGTTGGCCATTGTGCATCGGTACACAATGCGCGATCAATCACCGACAGTGCAGCATATATTCTTCATACTCTCTGGCCTGTGGCTATTCTACTTTAACTTTGGTGAGTTCCAGCTGGTGATTGTGTTCTTCATTGTGTAGTATACCTGAGATCTGTGATTTCACTGTGTGGTATATTCCATCACATTTTTATGTTATCATTTTTCCAATAAGGTACATCATGTGGGACACAAACTCATGGTATGCACCATGAATTGAAATATGTTGGCTGTTGATCTTGTGCGATGTTTGTGCACCATGTGTTGAACATTAAATCACTTGCAAGATGGCCACCTAATGCCAATGCTAATTTGCACCTCTGCTCACTGGACCACCCTGCTTACTCTTCATCACTGTTGATGCCTGTACCCCATCCAGATGGTCAGCCCAGCCACTTACCATGCTGCCTCCCACCTTCAGCACTGCTGGTGATCCACTCCATCATCTGCGTGGCCGTGCTGTACCTGACGCTGCTGGTGGCCGGCGGCACGCTGGGGTCCGTTGTCTTCTCCTTCATCTTCCAGATGGGCTATCTCATCACAGGTGGGAGCACGAGCTACGGCTCCCGCTCCGAGCCTCAGTCCAGGCGACTGGAAGCAACCGCGTATAGAACGGGAGGCCGTGGGACGTGTCTCGGCAGGGGCGGTCCTGCGGTCTCCAGTCATGCTGTGGCACTCCATTCGCCGGACGGACGGAATCTGTCACGTGACTTGCCCATATGTGTGTTTGGCTGCTGCAGTGACGTCGACTTTGTCCAACACACTCTGTGTAGAGTTGTTCCCGATCCGGCTCCGAGTAACACCATACGCTTTGTCGTTGGATCGTGGTCTGATCCCGCAAGATAGGGCATGATGTCTTAGTCTATTGCGCTCTCACGCGTTCAGAAAGCAAGATCTACAATATGGTCGTGTAGATAGGCTTACGTGTTTTACCTAACTGCCAAGGTCATTAGTATTACAATCTCCCGCGCGGATTAACAAGATAGGCCGAAGAATTTAAATGTGACGCCAATTGATGAAGGGGGTTGATGATTCCAGTGTTAAACGATAGCACAGTGCGCTCGATGTGTGCTCGGGTCTGAGGATCGCAAGTGTGCCGCCAGTTGTGCTACTCCGCCGCTGCCATATATACATGGTCTTATTGGCTGCGACTGTAAGACGGTGGTATTTACTGAACTCCATTTACAGCACAGCACAGCACATTGGCTGCGAGGAAAAAGCAAATGTTATGTTGTTCTTCTTTAGCTGACGCGGTGCCAACGGGTACATTCGACTGTAGTCTCACTCCCATTAAGTCTCTTGAACGATCGATGTTGCCTGACCCCCAGGCACGGCGCCCGCTGCGGGGTGTTGGGGACCGGGCTGCTAACGCTCGCGGACCCGTGCCGCAGGGTATGTGTTCTCCCAGACGGACGGCTACGACATCAACTGGTGCACGCCGCACTGCGTGCTAACTCTGCGACTGATCGGAGTCGCCTTCGACATGTTCGACGGCCATAAGGACAAGGTGCGTAGCCGAACGTCCCGCGCCCTGACGAACACGAGTAGCGCCCACCCAGCGCGCCGACCGGCACTGGGTGCGCAGCGCCTGGTGAGGCTGACCCTGCTTGGCCCTGCGCTCCTGCAGGCGGAGCTGCGGCCGGACCAGAAGGACACGGCGCTGACAGAGCGGCCCTCGCTGCTGGAGATCGGCGGGCACGCCTTCTTCCCGGCGGCGGCCGTAGTCGGGCCGCAGTTCTCACTGCGGCTCTACCAGCAGTTCACGCACGGTCAGCTCAAGTTCGCGGTGAGTGGGCGCGGTCGCAGCAGGGGCCTGCTAACGACGCGCGTTCCGGCGCGGAGCTTGCGGAGACAGAGGTCAAGGCCGCTGTGTCCGCTCTCTGGCGCGGGCTGTCATCGTGACCCGCCGCGTAACGGGCTATTTGTGGGAGGGAGTCACGTGTGGGTGTTGACGTTTTCTGCTGATCACGTGCCGCACGCTCCGGGCGCTCTTCTGTGGGCTGTGCTGCCAGACAGTGTGCTTTGGCAGCCCAGTCGTGTCATTCCTTTGTCGTCACGAACGCAAAAGGCAAGACGTGTGAGCACGGTATCCAGCAAAAGGCAAGACCTCCGACACCGGGGCGCTTCGTGTTGCCATCGTCGTGAAGCGGCGGCTGGGCCCCAGAGTTGGGCCGGCATGAGACTTCCAGCGGTATCCGTTGGACTTGTCCGTTTTCTGCGTCCATTCCGGCTAGCGCGATCGATGTGGAATGTTGGGGCGGATCGCCATGGCTTCCCGTCGCAGTCCGTCGCCGCGGGGCTCGCTCTGTCCGCACCGCGCGCCGCAGGGCGTCAGCTGATCCATGTTCACACGTGGCCTGCTCGCGGAAAACACGAGAGTCGTGCATTCCAGCGCGGCCTGTGTTGGGCCTGATTGTTTGTTGCGTGACAAGCAGGCGGTATCGATCGAGAGTGGTTGCCCGGTACCGCATAGGACGGAATGGCTTTCGGTCCGCCGGCCGGTCGACGACGCTGATTGCTTGCTGAGATAGTGACGATAGTGGTTGTTTGCTTAGTTGCATACGGCGAACCCTGAGCCCTGTGCCAATGCATTTGCCCTCGAACGTTTTGCAATGATGTGCCATTCACGAATAGTTCCGGACTATTTCGGTATTGTGGACATGTGACTCGAGCACTGTGGTCCTGTGCATGAAAGTAGGTGACTTGAGTGAGCGTTCCATCGTGCGCTGCATATATTAACGGCTGCATTAACCTATAAACTACATCACCTCCATAAGGTCGAATCCATCTAAACGACATTACCCTCTGGAGACAAAGTCGTTCTCTCAGGCTTTACAGCAGCCATCAGTTTTATGTATGGTTTGCACGAAATAGCCCGACTCCATGCCGCTCGCTTACCAAAAACTGTCCGTTGTGGTCCCCGCTGTGATCCCGCTGTGACCCCACTTGCACCCCGCTGTGACCCCAGTGCAGCCCCGCTGTGACCCCAGCGCTGCTCGAGCCGGGCGTGCAGAGCGCTCAAAGTACCTGCTGACGTAGTTGAGGCTGGTGCGCTCGACCTGTCAAGCAGTGGAAAATTGGCCAAGCTTTGATTGAAATGCTTCAGAAACTGTTGTCATATCCGGCGAATAATTGCTTTGGACGATTTCTGTCAGAAAATCTGCTGTCCAGTCGGCATTTGGTCCGTACTGGTTCGGCCAGTTTCCAAACTTGACGCCAGCAGCCCCCAGCGCTGCACCCCCATGACGTGCCGAGGGACCGCCCTCGAACGCGGCGTTTGCCCTCACCGCTGGCGTCTGCCCTCACCGCCGGCGTCTGCCCTCACCACTGGCGTCTGCCCTCACCGCCTGCGTCTGCCCTCACCGCCGGCATGTGCCCTCACCGCCGGCATTGATATGTCGCCCGCCGCGCCCGCCGTCAGCGGGTCAGCCGTCACCATCAGGCCTGCGACCGGTCCGTCTGCTCGCACCGCTGCTGGGGGCGCCTCGCCGGCCGCCGCTAGACGCCTGGCCGCGGTCCTGACGCGGCGCCCTCTCGCCCTCCCCTCCCCCAGCCGGACGCGGCCGGCCTGCCTGACTGTATCCGACCAGCCCTGCTGCGCCTCGGCCTGGGCGCCCTCTACATGCTGCTCTACCAGCTGCTCTACACCCTGCTGGTGCCCGACGACTACTTCCACGGGCCGGCGTTTATGGTGCGTGCCCGCCCGACACTGGGAAGTCTGGCTCACTGCCTGACGCGCGGACGTAGTGAGAGCTGCACCGGTGTCTGGCAGGCGTTAGGAGGCCTTTTGTGGAGGGGGCGAGAAGGGACTGTGTGTGCGTGTGGTATTTACGGAATGACTGCGGGAGATGTGTGCGCTGACGCCCCTTGTAAGCCCAAGCTTCGTTACCCGCTGTTTGTCAGCGGCGGTTGCCCTGCTTGCGATGGGCGTAGGCGGTGCTGTAAAACTTGTGCAAGGCGTGAGAGGCGTTAACCATGCGGTGGCGCGGATCCGTCCATGATGTCCAGTCATCTGCCGGAGTTATCCGACGCGTCACGTGTGCGAGGTCACCCGCCAGCCCGCTGTGAAATGACGCGTCACGCGACGTGCACGGCAGGCGTCCAGCTTCTGGAGCAAGATGTTCTGGATCGGTGTCTGGGTGAAAGTGATCTTCATGCGTTACTTGGCTGCCTGGATGTTCGCTGAGGGAGGCTGCATCATGCTAGGTGAGATGACCTTGCACCGTCCCCCCCCCCGTACACTCTTGTAGATTTGTTTTGCGTTAGACCCACCTTTCCTCTCGGTTCATTCCTTCCGCCTGACCATCTCATCCACCCTTCCATTATCAAATCGGTGCAATGCTCTCACGTCCGTCACCGTCCAATCCAGCTTCGTCCAGCGTCCGCCTGGCAGAGATAAGATAAAAGGCCACGCCCCACAGGCCGTCATCCGCGACATTGGAATCCGCGAAATTGACATGTGTTTTGCTTTCTGAGAAGCACACTTGGTCTGTCGTACAGTGTCCCGGGGGGGGGGGGGGGAGGCCCAGGTTGGATCCCCGATCGGGAGAGCCAGGACCTGTAGGCGCTCGTATGACACGGCAGTTGCCGTCACCCCGCGGAAAGGGTTGCACTGCAGCATGCTTCAGGCGCCATGGAAGGACACATGGGATTGTGGAGTGTTGGTGAGACAGGGTGGACGCCTACGTTCAATCCGCCACTAGTGGTGCTGTCGTGACTGCGGGTCTCTTTCGACGTATATGTCTTGGTTCTTCGGCGTGGGCGTACGGTTGTGCCATGTCATACGGCATAATAATTTTTTCGGCATCTGTGGTGCAACTTTCCCAGCTCCGCCACCATTATTCCACTCATCCCCTTGGGTTTTGGCATATTTCAGAGTCCACACCATTGATTGCGCCCTGGTTTGGGTTATGGTAACTGCCTGCCAGTGTACCTCGTAATCGGCATGCGTGGCTGGGTCGTCCTCAGGTTTGACGTATAACGGTCAGGACAGCAAAGGCAACCACCTCTGGGACCGACTGGCCAACGTGCGCATCCGTGTCTACGAGAATGCGATCAAGTTTCAGGACTATGTGCCTGGCTTCAACGTGAACACGAATGTCTGGGTCTCCAAGTAAGATATCGCGGCGGATGGGCACGCGGCTGGCGGTTTGGGGGCGGTGGTCATCTGAACTTGGTCGGTCTTGTAAACTTTCCAGTTATCTCCTGAAGCCCATCGCACAGTTTGTCAACTGTGAATGATGTTGTCATGTCGGTTGTAGAGCATCTGGTCTACAGACAACGTTGGGGATTTATCGTGCGTTCAAGTAAACTTGACTTTAAGAAAGCGGAGAAATACTGCATCGAAACGGAGGGCTACTTCGCCACCTTCCTGTGATACCTATTCGTTCTGCCGGTAACCAAAGTCGCAAGATCAGACCGAACCGATCAGATTCAGTGATGAGAATGCTGAGATTGCCGGCCACGTGGTCGGCAGCAGCACGTCCTCTCCCCGGTGTGGCGTGTCGTGACGCCCAGAGTGTTCTTCCCCACCTCCTGCCAGCTGGCCCGACAGCGCGGGCGCCGCGCCTCTCTGACGACAGGTACATCTTCAAACGTCTCCGTTTCCTGGGTAACAAGGAGCTGTCGCAGTTCCTCACGCTCATGTTTCTGGCCGTGTGGCACGGCTACCATCTCGGCTACTTCGTCGTCTTCTTCATGGAGTTCGCCATCGTCTTGTGGGAGAGAAAGGTAAATGCGTGTTGACGTCAAATCGGCGTTCCCTCGCATCCGTGCGGCGTCACGCAAACAGGGGGCTGCAAGTATTTAAGTATGCACTTACTCGAGAGAGCAAAAACTCAATCATTTGTTCCAGCTTTAACTTTGTGTCTGTTCTGCTGGTGTCTCCATCTTACAGAGACGTGCGGCTCTGTGGCGTATGAGGGAATAACCTCGCATTGATGTTCATCTGGTGAAGCGTCGTCCCTCCTCCCGGGCCGGACCGTCGCTGCGCCTGACCCGCCGTGGCGCGCGTGTCGCAGGTGCTGGGCGCGCTCTCTCAGTACCCGTCCGTGATGTCCACCTGCTGGGACACCTGGCTGCGGTACCCGCTGCAGCTGGTGCTGCGCCTCTACACGCTCGTCTTCCTGGGCTACTCGTGCGTGCCGTTCGTGAGCGTGGTGCGCCGCCGCTGGTGGCCGCTGCTCAGCTCGGTGTACTTCTGCGGCCACGTCATCTTCCTGTCGTGGCCGGCGCTCGTGCCGGCCATTCACTGGCTGATGCGGCTGTGCGGGGTGCGGCGCGTGCGGCCGGCGGCGGCCGACGGCGCGCCGAGGCCGCCCGCGCCCGCGCCCGTGCCCGCACCAGAGCCGGAACCCGCCCCAGCCGGGTCGGCCGCCAAGAAGGAGCTGTAGGGGCGCGGGCGAGGCGACAGCCCAGGGCAGGGACGCGGCCTGGTCCGATCGCTCAACAGAGCCGGGGACGCCTGTGCCGTAGCATAAATGCTCTCCGACCAGGTATTCCGTCATAATGTAGCAGTACTTACGGGGCGGGCGGCGAGGCCTGTTGTTACGGGGGGGCCGCCGCGGCGCTGGCAGCGTCGGCCGACCTCGGTGCCGCGCCGGTCGGCTTCGCCGCGTGGTCGGCTGGCTGGTGTCGGCGCGACGCGGCGGCGAGCGCGTGGCAGAGTGGGTCGCCGGGTGAAGAGCGTGTCTGTCTACCTCTGCTGTCGTTGCGAAGGCGAGCCACACAAAAGACGGCGGGATGAGAGCGCGGCGTTCAGTGGCGCGCGCGCCGCTCTCCGGGTGTTGTTTTACAGCCGTTTGCCGTTTGATTCGCTTCCGATGCTAGTGCGGCTGCTGTGTTGCCGCTGTTAGTGATTTTGCGGTGAGTGTCGCACAAGCGTCGCTTTCATCGCAGCGCGCCGGTCACCGAGACTGGTTTTAGCCGCGTCGCCGTGGCTGAGGCGATGGGCAAGCGTTGGCCCCCTCGTGTGCCGATGTGTGAGAGAGGAAGGCCGGCTGGCGTCGTTCAGCTCGGCACTGACCCCGCTGATCAGCACTGGCGCGGCAGCGCGCCAACACACTGCGCGCCGTCTTGGCATGGAGCCAGGCCCGACGCCAACCGGGTTATGGGTGTCTACTGCACCGTTGGTTGAACCTTGGACGCTGAACGGGCGAGTGATGTTTGGCCAGGAGCAGCCGGTGGTTGGTTGGTGTTATGGGTGGCTAGTTCGGGCGCTGAGGAGTTGTGCAAGGACTGGGCTGGGCTTGTTAGCCATTTTGCCGCCGTGGTAAACGGGCAATGGCGCGTCTCGCAAGCGTGTAGTTCAGCCTGACATGGTACCTGTACAGGATGCTGGTTAAAACGACGGATATTGAGTCCAGGGAAACAGTATAATCGCCAGGAAAGAAAGTATTTGTGGGCCATAACGTTTGTTTTCTCAATGCCAATGAGTTTGCATGTCTTTGGCAACTTTGGAATGAAAACATGCTTGGGTTGAGATAGTAGCGGGCGGGATTGTTCTCTGGCCTTGTTTACGTTCGGCGTATTGGAATGGTGCTGGTGTTAAGGTAGCCTTCTCCTTGCGTCCCGTTTTTTCGTTGTCATTTCGCAACCGTTGCCAGTTCGAATGTGAATAATCAAATATGGATTCGGAGTGTGCTGACATAATGAGGAATGTACTTACAACATGAGCATAGTGTTAAATTAGTATTTTACTGACGGAACGTGATGATGCCTTTCACATGCATCTAATTGTGATGTTTTCATTGTGTAACAATACAAAATGTCGTCACGGGTTTTTTGTTTGTTCCACCGTACCTACGAAGTAGGCGGTGCTTTCACGTTGTTCGTGTGAGTTGGAGTAAGAGCTAATTCAGCCAGAAGCCAACCAATCATTATTTTTCAATCAGTAATCTTTCACAAACACATCTCGACACAGAAGCAAACAAAGCGCGCATGCATATGACGGCTTCGAAGCGACCGGTGTCGGGGACCAATGTCAATCGTCGTCGCCACTGGGGCGACAGACGCTGACGTGGTTCGACGGACGAGTAGAAACATCTCAACCCCATCCCCCTCGTAACGGTAATATCTTCTCCAACGCTCAGTTTTGTTGGGACGGATGAACGAAAGGGAGTGGGGTGTCGGTAGCTCGTCAGTGCCATGTACATTTGGGTTCGGTTGTTTGGATTAGATTGGATGATTGAATTGTTCGGCGGTTTCGGCCGGTCACAGGCGTCTTCGGTCTGCGGGACGAGTGACGGTGGATAACGGCGCAACTACGTGCGTCTGGGGCTCATCCGCGGAGACCTGCCGCACAGGGAGCTCTGTCCAGGCTTTGTGCCCGGCTTTCCGCCCAAAGCTGGTGCACGCGGCCTGCCCCGCATGAACGGGTTGTCGCCGAGGATCCAGGGTGAGCACAGTAGGGTGATGGATGCCATGTACAGCGGGCATCGTTCAGCAGATGGAACTCGCGCATGTGTCAGACGTCAGTTCAATTCGAATTACTTTGTAGCCAGCGCTGATTTTGCATTTCCCTTGAGCCAGACAGCCCGGGCTGCGGGCGGGTACTGGGTACGTTCGCGTGACCAACTCCGCCAGGGTGTGTGCCGAACAGACCGCCAGAGCACGTCCTCTTGGCTTCATTCCGCTCCATGTCCAGGTCGGTTCCCACTATGAGTCGCATCGCGTGGCGCCGGTTTACGCCCTGGCTTTTATTTTTGGAATGCATAAAACGCCAGAACCTTTCCGAATCTATTTTGGCACCCGTCTCAGCTTCTCCAGCCCTAAGATGGCGCGTCCCTGTCGGCTGCACGTTGGGCCGCTTTGGGTCGCACTGGTCAGCCTCAGTTGGGCCCACTCTGTTCCCGGCAGGCGCTTTGCTTCAGGTCTACATGCATCAGAGCCCACACAGGTCCGAGACCATGTTTCTTATTTTTGCAGGGCTTCTCGGGCGTGCAGACCCGTGTCTTCTCTGGCCTGACCGATCTCGAGCGCTGAGACTGGGGAATCTCACTGCATTCAAGTATCGCCTACTGGAGATTTAGCGCATGCCATGTGAGTGTCTCAAATGTGGAGCGTGCGCCAATGTCGCGCTACCGGACTAAAACACTTTTTGAACTTTTGCGGACTCGTCATACACATGAAGCATGGTAATGCTTTATCATGCAAATAGTCCGCCGTGTCAAGTCAACTCCGTCGGCAGCAGGATTACGAAATTTTCCATTTATTGTTAAGCACCCGCTTGTCGAGAAATAATGCGCCAATAGCAACAGTTTCGTTTTGTCTGACTGATATTTGTTCGTTTCTCATGCTGGCGGCTACTGGGAAGGAGTTGATGAGGCGCTTCCGCAAACTGTTCCTGATGCTTAGCGTGTATGTCTGGGATCAAAGTCTGGGCTCCATGCAGTGCGTCATTGTAATCCTCTTAGCTCCTGAGCTGATATCCCAAATTTGGAGCGATTTGACCCCAGCCGCCCTGGGCCCGAGTGAAGCTAATGGACGTTAAACAAGACGTAAATGCCACGACAAGGCAGGCAGTCCCCGTTAGTGTTCCATTGTAGGCGAATGTTTCGCAGCTGGCGGGTTGGCTCCCGGCACGTGGTAGCACTGTGCACTTACATCAACAGGCATTCACTACCGGTCAAGGGACATTGAGTTAACTGGCCAGCGGCACACGGTCTTCCTCACAGTCTTCCCGCGAACTCTCCGCTCGTCGAAATCAAGTGACGCATTCACCGGGTATTGATTTATCGGCCCGAAACCCACAAAGCCAGCGGTAGCGGCGGCGTCACGCCTCGTAGGGCTTCCGCGTCCCGTCGGCGGATCCCGCGGGCAGATGTGTGGTGGCCGCCGCGGACCCCGCTCGCCGCTCCGTCCCCACGCCCAGCGTCCTCGGCTTGGCTCATCCTCCGCGCGGCCCTCGGCCTCTCCAGCCTCCCCTCCCACAGCCGGCGGCGAGTCCGCCCGCGGAGCAGCGGTGTGGCTGCCGCCTCGTCCTCGCGCCTCCCCGTTCCTCGCCCACCGTCGGCGCCTGCTCTGCATAGTTTGAGGAGCACCTAGGGCACTTAAGCCGCCTCAGGAGCAGCCCGTGACACCAGGGCCCGTCTCAGGAGGAGCCGGCGGCGGCAGGGCCCGTCTCAGGACGTGCCGGCGGCGCCAGGGTCCGTCTCAGGATCGTCCGGCGGCGCCAGGGCCGGCTATGCTGCCGTGGCCGGTACGTTCGTCAGACCTGGCATTCCTGTCGCCACGGCTGCCCGACGGCGACCACTGCTCGCACGACTGCCCGCCAGGTGAGAGCGCTGCCCCTGGCGCCGCAGCCCTCGCGTGGGACCGCGAGGTATCTCTCGAGGTACCTCCACCGGCGGCCGCAGGCGGGCGGCCGAGCCCTCTCCGCCGCGTGCCGCGCTCTCGCCGTGTCACCACCGCCGCAGGAGCGCTCCGGGACGCCACTCTCGGCGCCCTACGGCCGTGACCTCCTCCGCGGGAGTCTCTTCCAGGCGCCGGCCCCTCACGCCGCGGCCGCCTGTGCAGGGGCTCCCTGGACGCCGCCGTCGGCTCTCCGCGCGACCCGTGACTGTGCTCGGCCCCCTCCGGCTGGCCGTTCGCACCGCGGCTGAAGCCCCATGCCCCTGACGAGATTCCTGCCAATTCAATTAAGGCAAATGAAATTACGCGCCGCGGCGGCGCGGCGCGGCGTCGGCTGATCTTGTTGGCAGTCAAAGTGGCCGGTTTTTCCGGGTGGCAGCTGCATTGATACGCGGTCACGTGACCGCTAGGCTCCACGGCGGATGGCTGAGAAAAACGGAGCCGGCTATTTCGATGTGTGACCTTGAATGATTGGGCTGAGTAGCAGAAACTCTGCGAAATGGTCGGTGCAGGTCCGCTTTCCTTCGAACTTGTTCCGCGCGATGTGCTGGCGCTTCGTAGGACGTCCTCTGCTCACACTGACACCGGGGAAAACGAGCCAAGTCTGTGCGTCACACAAGACGCATTTTATAACGATGTGAATTCAGCATAGGACAGGCATGTCTTGCAGATCCAGGTCGATGCGGGATCACCGTTAAACAACGAAATGCAGACGTGGAATCTTCTTCGATTGGCATCCATGCGTTTTGCATGCATGCAAAACGCACAGATGTCAATCGGGGAAACAAGCTCATTGTCACGTGGGCAGCAGTTTGGTTTGTGCTTGGGCAGTGTGGTTATGTACTTGATTTCCAAGGATGTAAGATTTCCTATCGACAATTTTTTACTGGAAGGAGTTAAACCGATCGGTTTAGACACTGTGAAAGGGACAGATTTGCGCGCAGATTGTATTTCAAGTTGGTTGGATTTGGTTACAGGTTTTTAGGCTGGAGCCCTTTTGGACAGTCGCGATCATTTCAGGGCTGTAGGATGAAGGAGCATGGATAACGGTAGGGACAAGACCGCATGCACATGGGACCCAACTGTCGAGGCTTCGGGAGGACGCAGAGGCCCACGGGGACCCTTCTGCGGGGTGTGTGCCAGGCGCACAGACGGAGGACCGTAGCCGTAGGCGGAAAGGAGGGTACTTCAGTCTACTCTTTGCTGGCACACGCAGCCCAACCGGACAAGCGGGTTGTCGATAGAGTGCAGGATAAAATGTTGAAGATGATGATGAAGGGGCGGATGAGTTGTTGGGATCGGAGAAGGTCTTAAAAGTTAACCCATCAGGGGCTCTCCTTATGAGCCTCCGGGAACGCGCAATGCGCTCGCGGTGTCACTGTGAGTAAAGCCCCTGAGGAAACCTGTAATAGGTTTACCTAAAAACGATGTTGATTGACCTGATGCGTGGGCCCGGCGCCTAACTGAGCGTCTCATCTGACCGTGCCGTTGCTGCCCCGGGGCAGCGTTTCCGGCCGGCGGTGCTGACGTGTCCGGCGAGGCGGCGCCACCGGCGGAGTCACCGCTGGACGACCTGACCACCATCCAGACACCCAGCGGCCACCTCATCACACTGACCTCGCTTTCCGGCCCGCTGAAGAGAAAGCAGCGCCGCTACAGGTCAGGCAGACGCCGGTGGGGCGCCCGCCGCTCTTCTGACCAGACACGAGCTGACCAGCTGAGCGCACGCTATCTGACCTGACTTGGTGGGAGCTGTCTTGATCTGACCTGGCCTGATCTGGTGGGAGCTGACGTGATCTGACCTGGTCTTGTGAAAGCTGACGTGACCTGGCCTGATAGAGCTGACGTGATCTGACCTATTGTGGTGGGAGCTGGCGCGATATGACCTGACCCGATATGTTGGGAGCTGATGCGATCTGACCTGACCTGATCTGGTGGGAGCTGGCGTGATCTGACCTGATCTGATCTGGTGGGAGCTGTCGTGATCTGACCTGACTTGGTGGGAGCTGACATAATCTGACCTGATCTGGTGGGAGCTGACGTGATCTGACCTGGCCTAATGTGATGGAGTATTCAGGTGATCTTACCTGACATGACCTGACCTGACAAATGTTGGCGTTCTCTCTGATTAGAGGATATCCGCGAGATATCGTCTCGTCTCTTGGGTAATATACTCTGTCCATTGCAGGATGAATAGAAGTGTGTCAACTACGCAGTTAAAGCGTGTTATTGGCAGTGGGGTTGCAAGGGAGTGAAACCACTTAGAATCCAACTAGTTACTGATAGAAGTTATTTGCTTTGAACTGATAGTTCATTTTTTGCGATGGACTCGAAAAACAATATATTCATCGGCGTGAAACAAAAACATAAAGCTCTGTCCGCTTGTGGTCTTTTTTTCTACGGCTTTCCACCGATGCCCACGCATCTCCAGCTGTAAGCGGTGTTCTTGGTGTCGTTCCAGGACGACGTTCACCAGCCACCAGCTGGACCAGCTGGAGCGGGCGTTCCAGAGCACCCACTACCCGGACGTGGTGTTGCGTGAGCAGATCGCGGCCAGCGCCGACCTTACCGAGGCCAGGGTTCAGGTCAGGGGCCAGGGTACAGGTCAGGGGCTAAGGTACAGGTCAGGGGCCGGGATACAGGTCAGGGGCCAGTGTACAGGTCAGGGGCCAGGTTACAGGTCAGGGCAGGGTATAGGTCAGGGGCCAGGGTGCAGGTCGGGGACTATGGTGCAGGTGAGGAACCAGGGTGCAGGGCGGTGACCAGGGTGTAGGTCAAGGGCTAGGTCACGGCTATTCGGCTCAGCTCGCCGCGTAAGGGAGCGTTGTGAGCGCACGCCCTGGTCTCAGTGCAGAACCTGCGCTTGTCAAGAACGCCGGCTTAGGGTGTTGGCATTACCGTTTGAAAGCGTTTCCGCCTCTTTTGACGTCGTTTCTCTGGTGTTAAGCACTGATGTGAGGCATCTTCTATAGGTCACTTTAATTGCTGCTTGATTTGAGCGCTGTTTCCTTTGACTGCAGGTGTGGTTCCAAAACCGACGAGCCAAATGGCGAAAGGGTGAGAACGTCACCTACAAACAGCTGACGGCGTCATCGCTGGGCAGCCCGTCAGGTGGCGGCACGGGCGCCGCCCTGATGGCGCTCGTGGCGCCACCCGAGGAGCAGGCGGCGGCCGGCCCATGTAAGACACTGGCGGAGCACGGCCACTATCCTGGCCTCTGTTGTTGCCTCGCACCGTCAGGTCCTGCCTTCTGCACGGCTGGGTTTCCTGCAGAGTAAGGGTTGGGTGTGTGGTTGTGGCCAGGGGTGTAGTTTCCTCTTCGGTTGGGGGGGGGGGGGGGCTCTGGTTCCCTTAACTTAAGCTCTAGTCCCGTCCCCACACACCAACTTCGAAAAGAAAGTACGAAAAATGCGGGGATAAATCTGGTTGTTGACGTATATTCTGGGTCATTTCCGTCATTTTTCACTGTAAAGCTCCTCCCATCCCCAACTGACTTTGCAAAACTACGTCTGTGGTTGTGGCCTGAAGGCTTGATCATGCCGCTGGTTGTGGCCTGAGAACTTCAGCATGCCGCTGGTTGTGGCCTGAAGACTTCAGGGCTCCAAAGAGGTCTATACAGGCCGATGGAGCTCTAGCCGAAACAAATCGGTAATGTGGGCATCTCAATGTGTATCATCTCATCGTGTATTCGTCTCATCTCATGTAATCATCTCAATCGTGTAACAATCGGTGTAAATTTTATGAAGATAAGATGTTCAAATACTCGCGTTACATGATAAGATTATAACCCAGCGAATATTCATCACTCTCTGAAAGCTAGCTGCAGACCCAAACCAAACGATTGTTTAGGGCCATTGGTGACAAATGAAATGATCCGAAACATGCGGCCTGTTGAGTGCAGCACATCACCAGGAACGGTCCTCTTTCCAGTGATAAGCCTCAGCGATCTGACCAAGGACCTGATGTTGCCGCTCGAGCCGTCGCCTCCTGCGACATCGCCCACAATCACCATCGGTAATCTCCACCGAGCGTGGCGGTGTGTGCACGCTGATGACGTGCCTCAAGTAATTCCAAAGCCAGCAGCGCGCTTCATTTCTTCATTCTGTAGCGCATTCATCGCTTTAATTGTTATTGAAATTACTCGGTGATATTGCATCACAACAATTCAGCGTGAAATGCAACACCATTTCGGGCTCGGGGTGCTGGGGTGGGGTGATAAGTAGTGCCTCAGTGTGTCTCGCCTGTCTCTGGCTAGAGTCACCTGCAGCATGCCGCCCCTGTCTGCAGGCGACGGGCCTCCAACGCCGCTGTCCAGCCTCTGTGCCGGCCTTGACTGGGCCTCCTCCGGGCCGCTGGCGGTCGCCGACAGCGGCGTGTTCGCCGACCTGCTGAGCGCCGCCGGCGCCCACCAATCAGCGTTCGCCGAGCCGGCCGACGGCAGGCAGCTGCAGTTCTCGGCCGACGGCACCGAGCAGGACCCGCTGTCCGGCTGCCGGTACGAACAGGACGGCGTCGAGCTTGACGACGAATGAGAGGTGGCCGGGAGCGGTGCGTGCAGCACCAGCGGCAGAGGAGCAGGACTTTGACGTTGTTTTCGTGCCTCGTTTTGTGGAGGTTTGGAACTGACGTCTGCGGTTTGGCTTTTAATGCGTTGTGTTTGCGCCTTTGAACTGCTGTGCATGGCAGTGCAAGCTTAAAGCGCGTCCTGGCCGTCCGGTCGTCGATCGACGCGATTGTGGCGACACCTTCATCGTGAGACTTAGGCGGGCCTGACATCTGTTGGACGTTCTTGCCAGATCGGCCCGATCGTGTGAGGAGTAATTGTGTAGGATTGGGGTGATTGTGTAGGCTGTTTGGTGCACCTCTGCATAAATTGAGTCCATCGTGGGACTTTTATCATTTTGATCTGTTCCTCGCATGTCACCTGCCTTCAAATTACGAGCACGAAGTAAATGACTGCATGAATGAAATAGGAACATGTAAATAAGTGCTGCATGCAGGATTGCAATGCGCCAATTCGGTACTTAGTTGGGACTTAAGAGGCTATGAAATCAGTAAGGATCTTGTCTTTAAGCCTGAAGCATTGGCATAATCACACGAATTTTCACAATCGATGGTCACACATGTCAGTAAATGTAAATGGATCCATAAGTACATAAGGTAGGCTTCTAGATAACATTCAACGCCGCATCTTGTCATACATTCTTTGCGTTGGTCCAAAACCGTGAGCAAACATGCACATGGCTTGGAAACAATGATGGTTGTAATACGCACTCTGGGAAAGGAGACAAGACACTCTGCGAGCTGTTAAACGGAGTAAAGCTGGGTAGAAGAAAAGTGGAAACATTATTTTGCAACGTTTCCCCGTTCCGTACGCTTGCAATGCTAGGTCGTGCACCAGCTGCCCTTTGTGCCCCCATGCGGTGGAGGACTTCGGTGATAGCAATCACAGCCATAGATATTTCAGCGCACTGAAACGTGTATTCAGCCAATCATGTCCGCATAATAGATGCGCCGATGGAGTCCTGAAACGGGACATTTGAAACGTGTCGAAATCGCAGACAGTTCGAGCAAAACTCACCTCTCAGCCACTGAGTCAGAACAAAGCCCAACTCTCAGTCACTAAGTCCGAGCAAACCTCAACTGTCAGTTGCAGTCCGAGCAAAGTTTAACTCTCAGGCACTGAGTTCGACACCGCAGTTTTCGTGAACACGGAACAACGCATGGCGCGTTACGCCCGTCAGATGCGGAGGTCTGCTGGTGTGCGCTCTGGGCGCCGCACCAGTACGGCTGCTCCCTCCCCCGGGTAAGTGCTGTTCCCCACGTCTCGTCGCGTCGTCTCTCACGGCGCGTGGCCCCGCGCCGCCCGCGACACGCAAAGCAAGGATCGGGCCGGAGTCTACCAGCGCACGGCTGCACGGAAACAACGCATGTTTCCCAGTGTGGCGACTGTTGTAGATTTAAAAAGATTGAATCTACCAGCGCAGTCTACCAGTCAACTGTTGTAGATTTAAAAATGGAGTTCTTGAATGGAGAACGGAAACAACACAAGTTTGCCGATGTAGCAACTGTTGTAGATTAAGAAATGGAGTCTACCAGCGCAGTCTACCAGTCAACTGTTGTAGATCCAAAAAATAGAGTCTACCAGCGCACGGCTGCACGGAAGCAACGCAACTTTGTCAATGTAGCAACTGGTCCGCAGCTTGACATTGCAACGCATTCGTGCCGTCATTGGACGAGAGCAGTTGCCGGAGAATGAGAGTAACGCGGACGTATTTGGAATCGACTCATTGATGCATCTGTTTTGTTTATTGTCAATATGAATCACATTCAGACTCAAGTTGTGCACCCAGCCGATTCTCGTGGCAGATGCCTTCACACTATCTACAACGGAGCGCAGGAACGTGTCGTGCCCGACCCTCGTGTAGACCTAATAACGTGACGTGCCCAACCGTCGTGTGGACCCAATAACGTGTCGTGCCCGACCCTCGTGTAGACCCAATAACGTGACGTGCCCAACCGTCGTGTAGACCCAACAACGTGACGTGCCCAACCGTCGTGTAGACCCAATAACGTGACGTGCCCAACCGTCGTGTAGACCCAGTAACGTGACATGCCCAACCCTCTGTAACCCCAGTCAGCGCGGGAGGCGTCTTTTGAAGTCATTGCCGAAGCAAGCATTTAGTCTGTACGTAAGCCGGGAAGACAAATGTGCGGACAGGGTTCAAGAATGAAAGAAACAGTTGGAAAATTATTTGGCGCTGTTTGAAAATAATTACCTGTCTTCTTTCTGCCTATCCAAATTGGAAACCGCTTCCTAAAAGCAGACTGTGCTTCCGGGCTGAGAAGCAATAGTTTGGCACCATTCCAATGTTTTTTGTGGAAGCATTAATGATTTTTTTTCGCTCCAGGGAGCTGCGTAAGCGTTGTCTATGCAATGTGGGTCCGTGGTCATTATCTGGCTTCATTAAGCTTCAGTTTCTTTACTAATTTGTGTTCTCCCTGAGCTAAGCATCATCATTAAGATTTCTTAAGTTCGCGATGAGTAATTCAGCTGACCTGACACCCCGTGTGTGATCTGGTGATGTCTGTTGCCCTTCTTCCGCAGCACACGGCCGCGCAGTTTGGACACTTCCAGCAAACGGGGATTTGCTCCGGATTCCTGCTGTTGATGGTTGCGGAGATTATATTCTTATTTACACATGCACTCGTGGAAAGTTGAGCAGCTTTATGCAACAGTGAGACCGTCAGTCAAACACTAAAATCACTGCAACCTCAGCAATACTTTTATCCCAGGAAAAAAACATGAAGACACATTGACCACCTCTCAATTCTTTCGTACTTGAAAGGTCATTTAAACAGCTGTCCTTTGCTGTAAGATAAATTCGGAAGGGGTAGAGCTTTCTATTCGGCTGTAGAGGGGTCCAGTCCCCAACTTGGGCTTCAGGCCAAACCCCACCCATCCCCACCCCACCTCCCACCCCCACCCTCCCCAGCTTACCAGGACGCAGTTGCTAAAAAGTCGGATTACTCGTTCGACAGGCCTTGAAAGTAAGAAAGGATAATTCGAAACAGAAGCAAGGACAATTCAACACCACCATTGTAGATGAATATTCACTGATCCAATACAACGGTCAAGAACGAGGCAAGTCCGCATTTTGCAACACGTACTCCACTCATGTAAATAGAGGTGGGAAAACGCTTGCAAAGCGCAAATTCGTGTTCTCGGACTGAGAGGCAGCTGTCTAAGTGTAGCTCTCTTCCACTGCTCCCCTCAGCGTTCAGCACTGCTCGCCAGTGCGCCGGGCAGCCGCTTCTGAACCGACCGATCCCCAGCCTGCGACGCTGGCTGCTGCGCGGCCGCCCACCGGCCAACGGCCGCGCCGGCTCCGGTAGCGGCGAGCGGTGCGCCTGGGATGGCCGTGCGCCGCGCGCGCCGCCCCTGCCGCCTGTGACGGATCGGCTCGTGGCCGGAACCACAGGGGCGACGGGGTTAAGTTATTGACGGATTTCCTCCCGAGCCGGTGCCGCCTGAACGGACCCGATTAGCCCGGCCGCGGCCCGCCGGCTAGGCGAGCGAGTGCCGTCTGCGCGCAAATTGCCCATCTCGGGCGGGCGCGCCGACCAGATTCTCCCACCATCTGCGACAAATTGTAGGCACAAGTGAAACAATACTACCGCGGTGCCAATTACCAATTACTAGCCGCGTGATGGATTCTTGTCCAGCTCTAAGCTAATTTGTCCGAATGGCGCGCGGCCGGGCTCGATTGGCACGCCGCTGTATTTCTAATTTGCCTGAGGAGCCGGGCAGTCATCAATCTTGGCCCAACCTATCCTCTAATTTGAGTGACAAATCTAGCCGGCTTCCGGCCCGTGAGGACGCCACCTGATTATCTGTCCGGACAGGCCGGTTATTGAAACCGAGCCGGGCGGAGGGACCCGGCTCACTGGCCGGCCGAGACCGGGAAGGGCTGGACGGAGAGCCCCTGAAGGGTGGGCTGGGACTGGCAGGACTCCTGATGTACGGACAGGGATCGGGAGGGACTCGGCGGATTGTCCTCGTGGACAGACAAGGCCTGACAGGGACTAGATGGAGCGCACTGATGAACTGGTGGGGGGGGGGGGGGGACTGGACGGAAGGTCCCTGATGGACGGGTGGAGATGGGGAGGAACAGAACGAATGCTTCTTGACGGACGCGCAGGGGCTGGACTGAAGGAAGGGCCCTGATGGACGAACAGGGACTGGGAGGAACTGGACGGAAGGCCCTTGATATAGACTGGCAGTGACTGGGATGAACTGAACGGATGGCTCAGGCTGTCGGCAAGGACCGAGGAGCGCTGGACAGAGGCCCCCGACTGGCTGCTACGGAGAGGTTGAGCGGAGGGGCCGAGCCGAAGGACAGCGTAACTCGCGGAACTGCTGCTGCAAAGGCAGAGAGGTACTAGTAGGTTGAATCATTCAAATGGGACAGGCATGATACAACATATTACAAGCTAAGCGCACAGGAAGCTGCGTCGTACCCTCCCGGTTCATTTGTTTTTTTTTACCGGAAAATCTCTCTTGAAGTCCCGATAGTTCTGTAAGGTCTTGGTTTTAGTTTGAGCACAGTGAGAAACGAGCGTGCAGCAACGGTCCAAAAAGGTGATATTTTAGTTGTTTGTACCCTTTTTTGTTTTTTTGTTGTTGTTTTTTCTTCCGGGGGAGGCAACGACTGTGCGTAGAATCAATCAGTTTTCTACTTATTTAGGACAGCTGAACTTAGAAAACATGCTTTGCTATCCCGATCATTTTATTGACTTTACACATGTGGCAAAAAAATGACTGAGTTTCCCGTGCTGGCCTTCAATTGTGGTCACTCTTCCTGTTCTGATATGCTCCAAATCCGCAATGTGTCCAAATTCACAGTCGGCAATATTACAACGAGTATGAATATGTCGCGTCTGTCATAATTTCGTTTGACTATAATGTTTGCAATTTACGCAAATGCTAACCTTGCTATAGCCATCCTTAGCTCTCTGTCGAATATTCGAATATACCCAACTGATTGAAAGCGAAACAATTATTCCAGTGCTGAAACCAGACGAATACAGAAACCAGAACATTATCAAGTACTTTTAATGCAGTTGGTCGTCGTCATCGGGACTTAACGACGCACTCAGCTGCTGAGGCTACATGGTGTCTGCATTTCACCCTAGCGGGAAGAGCGGGCACGGCGGTAATGCGGCCGGTCACGGGCCGGTAAAGCCTCGTCAATCATGACATCGGCACAGAATTCCAGCGTCCTTTTACAGGTGGGCGTGTCCTGGCATCGGC